AAAAATGAATAAGTTAATTATCATGCTTTGTCACCAATACAACCGATGGAGAAAAGGATGAAAAGTAGGATGACCAAAACCTGTACTTAATAAAGACGCAAGGATAGACAAATCTGCAGAAGGTGGCCAGGTGACTACAATACTAGACACCTAATTTCAAGCAGACTAAAACTTCGACCACTGGCTACAAAGTGCAACACTGGCTTCAATCAAAACACACGACACTGGCTACAATCAACATAACACGTGACGCTGGCTACAACTAGCAGAACACATGCAACATGATGTGGAAGCACTCTAAAGTTCCAGCCCTGACTGTAAAATGGCCACAGTCCCACAAGAAATCTAATATTGATAATTGATCAACTTGCATAAGCATTTTGAAATTCAGCATCATGTGTCACAACCATGTGGCGTTTAATCCAACCAGGTATGTAGTGAAAAGACCATCAGTAAACTACATGCACCTAAGTCCCTAAGCATAAATAATTCCACCAATTCAAGGAGGTAAAGCTCAGTCCCAAATCTCTTACTATAGATAGAAAAATTTACAAAAGGTAAAGTACTTAGGTTAATAAGTCCACTAAAGGTATGTTACAGGATAAATAATTATAGGATTGACTTGAGAAAACATGAAGATATGAAACGATTTAAGATGTCTGCCAGGTCATCATTCTTCAACCATGAAAAAGAATTCTGAGAAAATGGTTACACAGCCAAATCTTTCTTTCAGAGATCAGAAGGAGCATATTCAACAACATGAGACAAATATTTAGAAAAACAACTCACGTCAATTTGTTGCAGCTTGGCCTCAAAGAGCTTTTCGCGGTCTTCCACCTTTAGAAGAAACAAATATTCCATTAGGAAAACGATCAAAAAAATAAAAAAATTCCATTAGGAAGATTCCCCTTTTAAAGAGTTGGATATAACCCATGCATTGTTCTATTTCCGGAGCTATCCATAACAGACAAACCTTCAGAGACCTTCCATCAAGTGCAGGATTTGCAAGAATAAACAACTGATCAATTAGAACAATGACTGGCTCCTTGCCGAGGCTTTTCCAAGGTACCTTTAATCAAAAGCAAAAATGCAACCAGTAATTTAACTTTAACTTTCAGTTAAGCAAAAAGGTAGATAAACGTTCTAAATTTCAGTTGAAGCAACAACGTGAGGGTGCATAAGTTCCAGAGGTTGGCAGGTGTATTCTTAAAATTTCAAACAATAAAATTCTGTTATCCAGAAGAGACGGGATGAAGATGGATTTTTTCAAGCTTACACATATGCAATGCAAAATGCCAAAATCACAACTGCATCTCTAATGCACTACCCAAAACCCACAAAGCACATAAGCGGGAAAATTAAACAATTTTGGGTTTGGATGAGGGATTTGAGGGGCAGGATTAAAATCATTTGTAAATCCACCCAACACATTTGGCTGTAATCTTAAATCAAAGAATTTCAAAGCCCTCCTAAATTTAGTTCATTGTTTACAGATTTGAAATCAATCGCTTAACCATTTCAAATTCATACTTACACATACAATACACACAAGTCACACTCTGTGCTCCCACACACAGCAAAACAGGGACACACACTACTCATTGCACACAGACATACAAACAATACTATACTCATCTCATGCATACACACCATGCGTTCCACACACAGATATTGCATTTTCACACTCTGTATCCTACACGCTGCACAAATTTCAAAGGGACGCACACTACTCACATTGCACATAGACATATAAACACATACTTCACTCATCTCATGCATACACACGATGCGTTTCGCACACAGAGACAGCACTTTCATACTCACGCTACAGTCCACTGAGACTCGATAAACCAAATATTTTCGTACATTTTTATTTTTCTATTATCTAGTAATCAGAATTGAAATGAAATTTCTAATGGATGTGAAAGTTCCACAGATGCATATCACAAGCGAACACGAAACTTGGAATCAATGATGTTCAGCTCCAACAAGACATCCATGATATTCGAATTCCCTTGAATTCAATCCCTCAGTCCAGACGCAACCAAAGAAAATACGAACACATTGAAAAATGTCCCAATGTAGGCCTGACCACTAAGAACAAGTGTTCAATTTTCCAGCATCAATATATACATAGGAGGATAGGGGAAGAATATCGAACTACGAAAGAAGAAAAGCGTGAGTGATGATCTTGAGATGTTAATGCATAATGACGCATATAAGACGATCACAATATCGACAGCCATGTGAGATATCAGACACTTAAGACCTTTAAAAATTTTGTTTTTTCATGGGGCTTCCCAACGCATTGGAAGACCATAAGAAGAAATGCTCAAGCAAACATGTCAGAAAATTGGTTGGGGTTGGCTTATCTAAGTCGAATGGAAGACAACGATGCATGTATCTTAAAGAGTTAAACATAGAGATTAAGGGCTTGATTGTTTATGAATTATTTCATTCTCATTTATTTCATACTCAAAATCTAACTCAACTTTAACTCAACACCACTATCTTTAATATTATTCATATAATTAAATAATACAAACCAATCATTCTTATACATCACATCAACTTCAATTCACTATTCATCCACTCACATAATTTTAACTACCAATCATTTTCAATCATTTATCTCCTATTTTTACATCAAATCAATTTTAATCATTTTATTTTAAATATTAATATAATACATTCTTAAAATTCTACCAACAACTAACCATACCACTTTTTTCAAAATTAACTATGGTTAACAAAAATAATTCTTTTTGAACAAATTATTTCATAAACAATCACCCCCTAAAGCATTTGAGATTGTTTTACTTAAAAATTTAATTTAATTTTTAATCACGAAGATGCAAAGAACACTGGAATACTGGTGGGATCCTAGGATTACCCATGAATGCCAGATAGCTACAGAGCAACTGGAAAAGGGGAAAAAAAAGGAAATAGGTTTATTCTATGTTAACTTGAATCAGAATTACAAAAGATTTGTTTTGTTTGAATTAATCATTTAACCTTTTTTTAGAAAGAAATTAGAAAACTACCTTCAAGGTTATACTACCAAGGAATCCAGCTTTGACAGTTACAGGAAGCTTCAATGCATTCAACGCCTCAGCTTTCAATTTCAAATCTTTGAGAACCACATCACCTGGAGAATACAGAAGGTACGATATATCAGCAGGATACTCAGTCATTGATACCAAGTTATGAATCCTCAGTCATGCAGAGCTTACAATACATGGCCAAGATCCCAGCAGCTAGACAACATGTTATATACTTGTATTCTTCTACAACCAACCACAGGCATAC